GTTATCCACGGTCGCCCTCTGCCCCTCGCTAGGCTGACTAGAAATTTAATTGCCGTTCACCACTTTCGCATTGGAGCGAAGTTGGTGAAAAATCGATAAGCTGGTTGGCAAATGGCCAGGTTCAAGACTGTAGTCTAGATCAGCTGTTTGGGTGTGTTGTCTGCTATTGCAGACATGGCGTCGCCCCCATGCACTCGCCCGATCACTCCCTTAACCGCCGTTCTTCCAATGTGAAACTCGTCCAACCCCCCTTTCCAGCTCTTTTTTTTACCTTTTGTAATTCTTTTTGTTCATCGTTTTTTGCGCTTTTTTCGTTGTTATCGCTTTATTCTAAAGAAGTTCTATCAATTCCCGTCAAAAAAGGGTACCCTGAACTCATTGCGAACGGTGCCTTTAACTGGTACCAACTCGTCTTTGAGGGGTAGAGCACTGATTGCATGGGCCACATACGCATTCAATCCCCCACTACCGTTCTGAATTAGAATCAAATACAGGGCTCATCCCTCGGCCAGGATTGATTAACGCCAAAAGACTATCTTTACGTAGAGGTGGTGGTGTATTGCTAGGTAACGCACTACAACACGAATGTTCCAGGCACTAAAATCCGGATTGGAACCCGTCCGTCGTCTGGACGTCTTATAGCACTGGCTTGCAGGAATCCGTAATACAAACTGAAGGCTGTTGGATACCCTAGCTGAACGGGGCAAAAAAATAGAGAACGCCCACCTTATTGTGATACTGCATCAACTGAACGATCACTCTGATATCACTCGAGTAGTTTTTGATGGAAATCACCCGCATGATATTCGCCGCATCTTCAGCATCTGGGTTAGTGCTGTACTTGTTAGCCAACACCAAACAAGCGTCCGCATCTGATACCTGAAGCAGCCGAATGCAAAAACCGCCATAAGGTTATGGGTAAGCTCGAAAGGGATTTTTGACGCTCACCTTCACCCGTGATAGATCCAGTGAATCCATGACGGTACCGGTGAAAAACTCCACTTTTGTGAAGTGCCGTTTGAACAAGCCCTCCAGCTCCAGATCTGGTACCACTCTTGAAAATAAGGAAATCAATAGAATAAAAAAAATTAATGGTCTGAATAATGAACTGAAACAAAATTGCCACTGCAAGAATGGACTGAATAATCAAGAAGTGAGGTGAGGAGTTGAAAATTAAGTGAAGTTTGTAAACAAAAACTAAGTTCCATGAAGCAGCTTTTTATCGCTACTGAAAGCAACAAAACTTCGAGAATAATTGCCACTGATGATGAAAATCCACAAGAAACGAATTTTCTACAGGAGGTAGTCAACCGGTGGGACCGGTGGGGAACAGCTTTCCTATTACTCGCTGCCACCTAAAAGCGCAGCCAAAGACGAGATTTTTTGTGATTTCTCCCTAGGCAGAACCTGTGTCCCCCAATTTAAAGGTTCCAGAACAAGCTGAGCCGACATGCTCATAAAAGCAAATGAGTACTCACAGCGTTTTAGGCTGCACTGGTCGCACCACGACGCACACGTTGCACGCAGGTAGCTTACTGTAGCCAGTTGTACGCGATGGCGCATACATTAGGACAACTCATCCGATACCCCTTCCATGCAACTTTTGTCGTTACATTCTCGTCCAACCGCTAGTTTTACTACTTCCTTGAGGCCTTATATTTCTCCAAATACGGTGGTTTTCGCGTTTAATTCGCCACTTGCACACAGAAGTGTGGGCAATCACTTCCGTTACTCCTCTAGAACTAAATAACTCGAAATTACCGCGATCGTAAACGCCCTCAAAGGAATCGTTCACAGGATCACTCGAAGCTATCGAGAACTGGACTTTTTTGGCTCGATTCAGCTCAGAATTGCCCTTAACTAGTATTTTAACTGGTAACCAAATATGCTTATGTAATATCTAGCGTAGAAAGAGAACCTAGGTAGAGTAAGAGAGCGCAGAGAGGAAGAAAGCGAAAAGTTTCGTTCGACGAGAAAACCTTCCGATAGGGTCCTACAGCAGAAGTATGATTTTATTTGATTTAACAGAGCCCGAGGTTGAAAGTGATCCCGTCAGCCGATGTCTCAGGATTTTGCATTTTTCGGAGCCCTAAAAAAGTGCGGATCGGTCTACGACTTCTAGAATGACTCACTACCGTGCGCGAGCTTTAAATTTTGTGGGTCTACGCAGGACTACTATCTTTCCATGAGGCTCCCGTACAAGTTTTTGTGTTGAGGGTCTAAACTTAACAGGCATCCCTTATATCACTGACATTGTGTAATCACATTTTTTGTTTTCAGCTTCCATGGATTGATTGGGTCATGAAATGTGTAAACAAATTTAAAATGAGATTCCTCAATTATTCAGCTGTATTCCATCGCATCAAAGTTATATATGATGTTTTTGAAGTCACATTTCGCTGAATATTTCATGAGTCGTTATTTACCATGAGGTATAAACGTCTGCTGTCGTATTACTATAAGCCAGGTGAAGGCCTACATCCAAATAGACGCCCTTAGACGATTCTCTAGAATTGCTTTGTACGAGGGACAAAAATGACAAACATGTTGCGGGCTCCCCGGTACCCACAGCGACCTGGCAGGTAGGCCTACTCAAGTCCCTAGCCACAGCGCGACAGCACACCCTAACGGGCAGGCCTGATCTGATTTCGGGTGCATCGTGTATGTAACGGAATTAGGTTTATATAGAAATAAGATTATGCCAAACAATCGAACGTGTTGTTCGTGATGATTCTTATTCTCTCACATTTCATTTCACGACAAGATTACTGTAGGAATCAGACGCACCGCTTTGAGCTTCTTCATCGGGCCCAACACGTCAAGATGCCAAAGCTCTTTCTGCTTTGCCTCTCTGCATAATAGCTGCCCATTGAAATCGTTAAGTGAAGAAATGGGTCGAGTGTTTTTCAAATCGAAGCATGAGGGAATCGAACCTTTCACGATTTGAATACCCGCTAAAAAGGGGCGAAACGCTTGTTGGCTGGCTTTCGTCTTCCACTTACTCAATTGTTCCACGCCAAGAAAAACGCTGCCTTTGAGTCTTCATAAAAGGGTAAAAGCCTCCATAAAAGGCTACCATTACTGCAAGGCATTTGAAGTAATATCAAAAACTTCTTGTTTCACTTATCCATTGCTTTTCGTTCAAGTTTCGCACAATTAACCCCTTGGTTTCCAAGTAGCCATGGGAGTGATCTCCCGTGCAAGGCTTCCTCTTATATGCAGGTCCAAGCGGAAGTTCCATTCAGGGCAGACGAAAGAGCACAAAGACATTAGCCGACGCCGCGTAATGATGTCATAGCGTGGGCCATGAAATTAATCATCTTTGGCCCCGACGTTTAAGTGCCTCTCCAGACACAAGTGAATATATGAGAGCTATGCTGCACACCATGCTTATTGTTACTACTAGGAGATTAGGTGTGGGCTACGTCCGTTGAAACGAGCAGGAAGCCGCAGAAAGAATGGGAAACCCCAGGAAAGTAGGAAACTGGCTAACAGGAAACCTAAGAATATGATTAGTAGTATTCGCAGATAATCTGTATAACTTGTCCTCTCGTTGACCATCGATTTGCCCTAGCGGGCCCCAGTAGTCTCCGGTGGTCCCTGTAGCGAGCCGATGCAGTCTGGAAGCTCCACCCCATTCAAAAGACCCCATGAAATCATTCGTCCAAGCGTTTGTGATGAAGTAGTGGTTGCCCTTGTGTTCGTTTGACGTCCCGGGGGATCTAATCGGTAACCCCCGTGGTCCGACGAGCCCCATTACGTGACCGGCCCACCTCATGTCCGATTCCTTTGCGCTTTTGTTGACTGAAGCCTCCAGATCCTCTTCTGCACTTGCCTGTCGAGAAACTTCTAGCATTATCCCATCGACAGCAACCCAAGTCATAAGAACTGCTTATCCTACTAGAGCAGTCGTCGGCCATGGAAAAATAAACCTTCCTTTGTTCTCTACCCCTCGATGTTCCTGATTATTCATGCACCACGATTCCATTCGTTTAGCTCTAGAGCTGGGTCATTCATCATGTTGATTTGCCGACAGAGATATACGTGGCTGCATCATTCAGACGCTCGTTCCACTAAGCACAAGAGAGGCATCAGAAAGCAGCTCATTTCCTACGAATATAGTTTTTGTTGGGTTCCATTGCATATCGATTGAGCTCTATCAATTTTTTGCGCCCTAACTTATGCATAAGGTTTCCGAGAGCGGAAGTGGGAAGGTTGGGGGAAATAGTATCGCCCTGTCACACCCTTCCCACCAGGTCGACAGGACTTCCTTGTTGGACAGTGAGATCCGGGTTGCGTACTTGATGTAGAGCTCACGGAGTATTCTTACGAACTGAGCAGAAATAACTTGGGAGGTCTCTCTGAAGCCACGACCAAGAAGATACAAAGTTTTATTCGGCTAAGGTTTCGGCCAATCGCCTTTTTGGCTTCCAGGCTCTGACGAAGGCGATTGGAAGAAACGTTAGCCGAATAAAACTTTGTATCATCTTGGACGTGGCTTCAGAGAGACCTCCCAAGTTATATCTATACTATGCCAAGATTAAATGATAGTCGAACATGGTTGCTGTTGAGCAGAAATATCCTGGTCAAATCAGTTAAATGGGTTGGGGCGGTGTGGGTAAGGTGAACCGTGCTAAACCCCTTTGAGCCTTTGACTACTCACAAGAGTATGACAGCTCGGATGTTATATGGTGTCTGCAACTCGTCTTGTTTATGCGTCTCTACAATGACGTACCAGTTTGGAAGCGTCTAGCGAGAGAAGTTTTTGGGTGACTTGTGAAGCCCCCGCCTTCTAACCCTCTTACGATGTTCAACAAACTGGTCGTAATCCTTTTCGGTGAAGTCGTTAACAGAACTTTCCGTAAATGGGCAAGGCAAGCGAAGAGATCCCACTGACCCTGTCTCAGGGCGTAGTTTCTTAAAGCTGTCGGCATTTTACGAGAATGCCTGGAAAAAAGGTTTTATTTCTACTCGTGATTTGGTTTGGGCCCATAAATCAGTAGGCTGCAGGTTTATGGGCTCAAACCGAATCACGAATCGAAATAGGGTTTTTTCTCGGTCACCACGTAAAATGGCGGTTATGGGCTTGAACCGAATCACGAATCAAATGGAAGCCATTAGACGAAAAACCACAGGGGCTCGGAAGTCCCCAGCTCAGCCGAAGTCTAAAACGTCCGGATCAACTACGACTTTCGAGCTTCAGGTCTTGCTCAACAGACATCACACACTTGATTCACTTATCCAAACATCAATTAGTCGTAGCAAAAAGATGAGGACATTGGAATTTAAGCAACCAGATGTATCTATAATTGTTCTACAGAGTGATTATCCCCAAAAAAGACTATCGTCTCCTTCAAGGAGAACAGTTTGACAGGGAAAAAATAATTTTAAAGCGAAAGAAAGAAGAAAAGGAAAATAGTACAGGAACAATGAAGTTACCTGTGTAGGAAAACAACTTCAACATCGACGTCATCTCTGTCTTCGTGAAGGAAATCCTGCAGAAAGTGGCTTACGGAGTCATAGGTGATATGGCCGCAGACGACGATATGTCTGCAATGGCGGAACCCATACTGCTATTTTCCTACTCGTTTTATTCAGTTGTACATATTTTACGGTGATCGAAAGAGAAATAATGCAGTTCTGTGAGAGCTGGCTTTGGGTTATCAAAAGTATTTGACAAAGTTGGAAGACGAGCTCTTGAAATTCCAAACCCACTTCTTCCCATGTTCGCCTTTATACTCGCCACCGTACTTTTGTCGATTTCCGATCAGATCAGCAATTTCCGGAACGTAGCTGGCAAACATGGCCTAAATTGGTCGACGTTTACTGTACTTTTGAAGTTAGCTCCTTTGATATCAAGGCTTTATAGTGGAGAGGTGAAGAGGCCGTAAGGCTATCTATGGGTAAAACGCTTATTCTTGAAGGGGATTCCTATCTAAGCTTTGCTTTTCAAACATCGTGTTCCCCTTACCCTACAGAGACCTTGTTGGCTCCGAAAAACAGCAGTAAACACAAAGAATGAGTCAAAATAAACAAGTAAAAAATAATTCACTTTTTCTAGTCCTCGTAGACTAGGTCTTCACCTAGTTGCCCACTAGGTAGAAAAGGAAAATTCTTTTAAGGGTCAATTACGATGTTTGGTTCTCAATAGGAGCAGCATCTATGTACTGCCACCGCTTCATCTCCTTCCACTATGTTTACATCAACTAATCAAAGAAAACTTACGAGACCACCGAGGATGAAGAACACCATAAAAATCCGACCGCATAATGTCGTACAGTAGATGTCTCCATAGCCTAGAACGTTTAAGATTGAGTATTACTCATCTTCATAAGCAAAAAATCAGAGGATTAAGTTTATTGACGTTATCAAATCCCTCCTCGGGATGGGCCCTACATCTCACTCACGATCGGAATCGTGATGGTGTTTTGCATACATAGGTGGTCTTAAAGTAACTCGGGTGACCAACTTGCGTGCAAGTCAGGGCTTCATTCTCTCGGACGAGTCCTCCTTAACGGGTTACCAAGCCCGATTGAATTCTTAGACCATGCATCTGGTAGGGCGCGCTATTTGCCACTGCACCACCTTTGTCTGTATGTGAAAAACAAACAATAAAATCGTTTTCTCAGAGGTGAGGATGACCCACAAAAACGGATCACAAGCTTAAGCTACTGTAATACCTTTAGAAAGCCTTCACCACACTGTTCTGGCTGGTAAACACAATAAGAACTACTGTATAGGGCCAGGGGGCATGCTGATTTTCGAAAGTAGGCGCCCACTAGAAGTGCTGAATTGTCGTCTTGTGGAGGTAGGACAGTGCTCTTAATAGCCTAACTTCCACCTTCGAATCAATTGGGAGAAAACGATTTCGAGCAAAAAGCACTCACCGACGGTGGACATCGTGACTAGAAGAAAGTACACGCAATCTGCATAGGTGATCCGATGCGGATTGATGAATCCTTTGAAGAAATCACCCGAGTTTTCGAACTGAAACCACTAATTTCTTTCGGTTGACTTCATTCAATTTTAGCCTTCACCCACTAGATGTACTCCACCGGCACCCGTAAGACAGACGGACACGAAAATGGTGACGAGCTGAGTGAGCCGAATTGATGACGAGGTTTTTAGAATGTTCAGGTACTGTAGAATATCCGGCACGGTCATTAGACGTAAGGCGCGAAGAAAACGGAAACCTGAATCACAAATGACTGAATTCGCTTGCTTATTTACACGGTTGTTTATTAGCTTCGTCCGGTATACATTATGCAAACAACATTAAAGTCAAGACAATCAGAAAGGTCAAAATAGTAATAAAATGAAAAAAAAACAGAAAAAAAAGAAAATTTACACTAGTCAGTGGAATACTCGTTATAAAACTACCAGCACTATAGCTGTACGGGATTTCTAAGGGCGTTTGTACTTTACAAATTGCAAAGCGAAGGAGTAAAAAGGACGAGTTGTCTTGAAAACCTTACCTAACCAATTCCGTTGTAGATAAATAGCGACAAAACTGGGCGGAATTGTGCAATAATCGATGAAAGAATACAATTCGAGCAAAAACCATACTTTATCAGAGGCTGCGATAAACTGAAATAGTAAGTATGAGATATGGTAAGATTTTTGGCAAAATCTTATAATAGAGTGAAAGTGTCGAGAATGGACGTGATGGAAGGGACAGAGAGAAGGCTCTACCCAGTTTTGGCTGAGGAACTGTAGATAAATGCCGTATTGATATCCATGTACGGAAAGTGGAAAGTGGCCACTATCATATACGGATGGTCACCGGTTCTACTCCTGGGCCGATATCCGCCTCGACCAATCAGGCTTCTATCCCTATAAGTCAGTTAGTAGGTACCAGACTCGACTGGGAGGGTTGAACCACCACTTGTGCATCAACTGACCACCGCAGGTCATTGTATAAGCGCATATTCATACACCTCTACTATTCTGAATGGAAGTCGAATGCGGTAATGAATCTCTGAGAAATGATTGGTTGACGCTGAAAATATGACCCGAGACTTTTTGGATTTTCTTTGAAATTCAACAATTAGCAAGAGGTTTGTATGGGTGGTTGGAAGCACCAACTATATTGACTCCAAGCTCCAACATTTTCAGGTCCACCTCAATATACGCAGGACCAGGTACACAGCTAGTTAGCTGTCACATTCCTCCTGAAACTTCTGGGACCAGCGATTTGGTAATGCAGCTAAGAATCATTA